TTGTATCAACAAATGAAATATTACTAAATCTAGTAAATTATATCAATGAAATCACTCTCGTGTCAAAGTCGAATAAGCGAAATAGAATGAACAATAGAAGTGTTTTTGTAATTGAGTTGTCCACCAAACGTTCACAAACACTGCTTCTCTACGTTTTTTGATTTAAATATTCATTTGATATATTTTGTCAATTATCATACAAGACCCTGTGTCAGTATTACGAGATATACAAACAGTAACAAAGTCAATCTGGCGAAATCAGTGGAGCGGAACCTTCCGCCGTTCATGTGTGTGGTACGACATTTAGAAGAATGTCAATTAATCCTGCTATCGTTAATTAATTGTTGATTACAATCATATTTATTTGGGGGTCATTTCTTAATATGTGCGAGACACCTAGTCTGTCGGCCAAGAATTAATGAGTGTAATGATTGATCGGTTTTGTACCTTTAAAAATTCCGAGCGTCGATATTTAATTCTTTTGTTTCAGTTCGATATCAATAAATCAATTTTGAATGTACTCTAGGTTAAATAATTGAGGCACGCGTATGTGTCGCAGACAGAATAATAGCTCACAGTGTATTCGTGATTTTTTTCATAGATTTGTTTACTAATTAGCATGCTTGTATCTTATCACAATTAATATCTATTATTGAAAGACAATCTCTCTCTCTCTCTCTCTCTCTCTCTCTCTCTCTCTCTCTCTCTCTCTCTCTCTCTCTCTCTCTCTCTCTCTCTCTCTCTCTCTCTCTCTCTCCCTCTCTCTCCCTCTCTCTCTCTCCCTCTCTCTCTCCCCCTCTCTCTCTCTCTCTCTCTCGCTCTCCTCCCGTCTCTCTTTCTCTCTCTGTTTTCTTCATGAAAATGTGAAAATCATATATATTATGACAACGGAAAATGAGGAAGGGGGTCTATATTAAGGCGTTATGACAGAAAAGAAAATAACGTAGGTTACAAAGCAGCAATGTTGACAAAGACCGAAACCATTCACGTCTTTATTTAGGCGCATTGCCAATAGGTAAAAATGGAAGCACAGGTCATAATATAGGTTCATTGTCAATGACTAAAATTAAATTAGGCACCAGTGAAATAAGGAAAGTTTAAGAACATTCCCTGTGTTTTATATTCCAAACAAATCTGCCGCTGTAAAACAATCATAATTGCTTCTGATTTTATTACGTTACACGGCGAAATCTCAGTGAACTTGATCGAACACATTGCATGCCTCATCGGTCAGTTCGGCACTCTCCGGGCAGGTAGTCGGCTAACATCGGATGACGTTATTTTTGGTTAACATGTTAAAACAAAAGGGAATGAAAACTGCATGTACATGTAACAAGAAGCACATTAAGATTAATTAAACCGCTAAATTTGTCTTAAGATACGATATGATGCATGCGTTCTGTATAGCATTATGTGGTACACAAACATGCTACTGTCATACTAATCTTGACTAATAATACAAATAAACAAACGAAAGAAAAGAAATTGTCTGGACATGTATAATTTATGACATCCTATCGACTTACTCGCATCATCACTAGGTTCTTCGGGTCCGAAATTCGCAAACAATTTACATGTACGCGATACAAACGTTTCTGTGACCGAACAGAGCCGACAACGTTGTGACGGGTCCAAGATACAAACGTTTCTGTGACCGAACAGAGCCGACAACGTTGTGACGGGTCCAAGATACAAACGTTTCTGTGACCGAACAAAACCGACAACGTGGTGACGTAACAAAGTACAATAACGAAAGCACCCAACAATATTTTCGTTTGTCCATAAGACGGAATATTCCAGGCAAGAACTTTCATAAATGGCAAACATGTCTCTTATGATAAGTAACAAAATTCTGTCATTCAAAATGAAGCGGGCACTTATTTTTTATAACGAATGTCGGTTCACAGAGACAAGTGTCCGAACACCTTCAATACCGCTCTACATTGTGTCTATCTCTTTTTTTTCTTCCAATCCATTCTATATTTTCTTTAAAATGTAACTACATGTTATCATGTATCAATGTTCATTTTGTTTTCAGAACCGACAACCAAACAATTGAAGATAAGCCGTTTCCAGCCAAAAAAGTAGTTCTCCAAACGGGCTGTAAAATAATACCTTATATGCCTCTGTAATTAGAGAATGGAGAGTCTGTTTCTGTATTGCCCTGGAAACTGTCTATACAATAGAAATACTGTAACGTTAATGTATAAACATTTAGAGTAGCATACGGCCATTTAGGAGAATAGAATCGAGATGTCAAGAGCACGTGGATTTCAGTGTGGTGTATATACATAGTTAAATGCTTTTCTATCTGTTAAGGAAGTTTTTTTCCACTATTAAGTAACTGTTACTGTGCGATGATGGTCTTAATTAAGTATTACCTTCTGCTTTGCAGCCAGATCTTATACATGCGCATGCGTGGAATACTTCTCGAAGTAACAACTGATATTGCTCTTGCTGGGTAAACATTCATTTTTGTTCCAGCACAAAATAGTCGATAAATGCTCAAACACGATTTGTGTATCCTTAGACCAGTAGTCGGCATGCTTGCCAAATGACATATAATCCATGTTACTGCGTTAGGTCCTGGGTCGAAGTTCTGAATAAGGATGGTCGATAATACCCTACATGTACTCGTAAAGTTAGATATGACACTATCTCCCCTTTGATAAGAACACAAATAAACGGCGAAAACGTGCTATCAAATAAAGATGTATCAAATTTTGGTACATAGCCCACCATCTAACGGTAGGTAAGCACAAATATTTGACCTTTCAAAGTCATTTTCCTTTCACCGACTTGCCGATAAAATATTTAATGTGCCTATATAATCATGGTACCGTCCATTAAATAAACTTTTCTTTTTTCTATCAGGATATAAAGATATTCTTTTCAGATCAAAAATCATTCTCATGTCTTTAACACATCAGCATATTTCCTTCCGTTGTACTTGCGCCCATGTTTATTCCTGAACGATTCGGAACACTTTCCTTTCACGGGAGATTAAAACAGTTTAAATACTCGCTTTTATCGATATTGGAATTTCACCATATACTGCTATCAGACACGGGTTACCTTTTATTTCATTCACTTTCTCAATACCGCCAGACCAGTATACATATGTATAATATATGGCCCAGGTACAATGCAGATTTCATTACATCCACTTAATGATGCCTATTACCTAACTGTACTTGAGCCTCCATTACAGAAGAGTTCCGCATTCTGAACCATATTCCACTACATAACAATAATATCTGTTTGGGATTGATAGAGTGTTACAACTTGTAACGTACACACCGAAGAAAAATGTTAATAAAATAATGAGATTTTTTCATAAGAAAATGTATCACATTTCCCGTAATTATCTTGTTATCAGTGTAAGAACACCCGATACATTTCATGCGTAAGTATTGACTTGTAATATGACCTAGCGGATCTGTAATTGGCTGAAAATTACTATTGTTTCCATTCTGATGTCATCATTTCATGGCGTCATAAGCATGATTACATAGCCAAAGAATGCAATACATAATCAGGTCTGATAGAATGCTACTTTAACGGGCGCTTATATAAGTATTTAAGTTATGTGATAAACACATACATGTCGTTTCCATTTCATTAAATTTATTTTTCATTTACCTCGCCTGAAGTTTCTAAGTCCCGTTTCATATATCTCACTTAAGTGCAGATTTGGGTAATGACATTAGATCACAAACAAAATGTATAAAAGTATCATTAATATACAAAAATTGCCTTTATTATTAAGTTTAATGGTGTTGACATATGGACCTATTCAGTACACCTACATACAAACAGATATGTTAATGATACACCAATAGACCTTTGATCACAACTCTACCTCTTACGATTTTTTCTTCGGTTTGACAATGCTTTAAAGCATGTGTACAAAGTGTGTCTATTTAAAAGTTGGTGATCAGGCTTTTCTGTATCACTGGTATATTCTAGTATGGTTTCACAATGTTCTACATACTTTCTGTTTACTATTTACCGTTAAACATAAAATATCTTCTTATTTCTGACCTATACTTTTAGATTAAAAAAAACAATACCTTAATTTCCGATTTCTAAACCTAAAATCAAAGTGGCAAAACGAGAGATTCAAGACGGATCTTGACGCCCACCTTTAATTGATCTATATTTGCTCTTTGGAAGTTTCGGTCATTTCTCTTCTCTGTTCTTGCTCTTAATGATGAGAAATTTGATCATTCATCTGCAGAAAGAGCGACGATGATCTTTACCTTCCAAATCCAAGATGGACACCTGGAAGCCATTTAGTTTTTTCTCATCAGTTCCAAAACCAAACGGGTACAAGTAGATAACAAAAGGAACATACGTATGAAATTTGAGAGAAATCCATTCAGTACTTCTTAAGAAATGGGGATAACAATCTTTACTTTACGAAATCTAAGATGGCTGCCTGTCGGCCTTTTTGTTTGTCTTATCAGTCCCAAACTCAAACAGGTACAACTTGGGACAAAGAGGAACCTATACATGAAATACGAGAAAGATCTATGTTGTAGTTCTCAAGAAATAGCGGAAATAAACTTTCAAAATCAAAATCCAAGATGGCCGCCTGTCGACCATTTTATTGTTCTGATCAGACCAAAAATTTAAACAGTCACAACATGGGACCAAAGGGAACCTACACATGAAATTTGGGAAAGATCCATCCAGTGCTTCTAAAGAAATAGCATGACAAAAATTGCTTTCAGACGGAATGCCCACGGACCACAGACCATTGAGGTAGGGTGATTTGAATTGTGTGCTAATAGCAGCATGTGCTCCAAGATAGTATTGCAAATCCTTTGGACAAGCTAAAACGGCAATACACAGTATAACTATGAAATACAAGGGTATTATACCTACTTCATCATTTCAACACAAATACGGTGTACATTGTGTAATAAAGAGAGTGGAACTCTTCTATGTTTTCCCCAGGATTAATTGTAAGATGGGAAAAAAAATCAATTCAGAGATTTATTTTTTCATTTAATTTATAAACTTAATAATAAATGAAGTGGACATCAATAAACTCTGCTAGCCATCTGCATATTTTGTGACAATCTACTGTCAATTACAGTCATTTCTATGGATCAGAAATTATATGGTATCCATGCTAAAGTATTTACCATTCTATACTGTCACACCATTCTGTACTGTCATACCATTCTACATTGTCACACCATTCTATACTGTCACACCATTCTATATTGTCATATCATTCTATATTGTCATATCATTCTACATTGTCACATCATTTTATACTGTCACACCATTCTATACCGTCACACGGTTCTATACTGTCACAGAATTCTATACTGTCACACCAATCTATACTGTCACACCATTATATACTGTCACATCATTCTATAATATCACATAATTCTATATTGTCACATCATTCTATACTGTCACACCAATCTATACTGTCACACCATTCTTTACTGTCACATCATACTGTCATACCATTCTATACTGTCACATCATTCTATATTGTCACATCATTCTATACTGTCCCATCATTCTATACTGTCACACAATTCTATACTGTCACACTGTTCTATACTGTCACACCATTCCATACTGTCACACCATTCTTTACTGTCACATCATACTGTCACACCATTCTATATTGTCACATCATTCTATAATGTCCCATCATTCTATACTGTCACACAATTCTACACTGTCACACAGTTCTATACTGTCACACCATTCCATACTGTCACACCATTCTTTACTGTCTCATCACTATACTGTCACATCATTCTATACTGTCACATCATTCTATACTGTCATACCATTCTATACTGTCACATCATTCTACACTGTCACATCACTATACTGTCACATCATTCTATACTGTCACATCATTCTATACTGTCACATCATTCTATACTGTCATACCATTCTATACTGTCACACAATTCTTTACTGTCACATCACTATACTGTCACATCATTCTATACTGTCACATCAATCTATACTGTCACATCATTCTATACTGTCACACCATTCTATACTGTCACATCATTCTATACTGTCACACCATTCTATACTGTCACATCATTCTATACTGTCACATCACTATACTGTCACATCATTCTATAATGTCACACAATTCTATACTGTCACACCATTCTATAATGTCACACCATTCCATACTGTCACACCATTCTATAATGTCACACCATTCTATAATGTCACACCATTCTATAATGTCACACCATTCTATACTGTCACACCATTCTATAATGTCACACCATTCTATAATGTCAGAACATTCCATAATGTCACACCATTCTATACTGTCACACCATTCTACATTGTCACATTATTCTATACTGTCACATTCTATAATGTCACACCATTCTATAATGTCAGAACATTCCATAATGTCACACCATTCTATACTGTCACACAATTCTATACTGTCACACCATTCTATACTGTCACACCATTCTATAATGTCACACCATTCCATACTGTCACACCATTCTATAATGTCACACCATTCTATAATGTCACACCATTCTATAATGTCACACCATTCTATACTGTCACACCATTCTATAATGTCACACCATTCTATAATGTCAGAACATTCCATAATGTCACACCATTCTATACTGTCACACCATTCTACATTGTCACATTATTCTATACTGTCACATTCTATAATGTCACACCATTCTATAATGTCAGAACATTCCATAATGTCACACCATTCTATACTGTCACATCATTCTATACTGTCACACCATTCTATACTGTCACATCATTCTATACTGTCACACCATTCTATACTGTCACATCATTCTATACTGTCACACCATTCTATACTGTCACATCATTCTATACTGTCACATCATTCTATACTGTCACTGTTATTTACTGCCATACCATTTTTCCCTATGTTCACACTCTTCCCTATTGTTACATCTTCTATATTGCCATACCATTCCCTTTGGTCTTATCATTTCATATTGTCAGATCAGTCTCTATTGTCATAAAATTCCATATCAGATCCAATGTGGTACCTGTCAGTTTCTCATCTGTTACAGTGCCTCATAAAGCATTTCTTGCAAAAAAATGGTTGAGCTGATTTCATTTTCTCCAACTGGTTTTGGATAAGTATAAAAAAAATTAAGAAGGTAACAGGATAATAACTGATATAAAAATATTATCAATAATGTAACACATGTAAAATATCTGCAAATGATTTCAGAGTGAGGCTAGGCTGTTGTCATGACGAAAGACCTACATGAGAGAGGCTATATTTACGAATGAGTCCGTCTCTACAACATGTGTATATATGACTACCATCACTGGACACGCGATAAAGTGGATCACAATCTGCACCTGTCAACTCTACAGTTGTCTCCCCTTGACTGTTTACGTAACAACATGAGCCATCACCTGAAATTAAGATGACCTTCAAATTCAGACAAAAATTCCATAACCTGCATAATTTGCATCACTGATGATGATCGGTTTAATTCAATACTTGGCTCTACTGTATCTAATTCTACATTTGCATTTAAAGCAGTTATTCACTATTTTTTCAAACAATATTTTAGCAAATAAAGGCAAGGAATTAATGCATATACATATGTCACCGGATTTATGTATAAAATTGTATTCATGTATAAAATTGTATGAAAAATTCTCCTTTTTCAGAAAATGATTAACTATCATTTCTAAATCAAATTGTGACCATTGCTGCTGACTAATTAGAAAAGGATAGTGTTTTGAACTTGTGAAGCATATATCATGTACCTGCTGAGAAGAAGAATCCCTGTGAGAGCGGACACAAGGAGAGTATAGGACCCCTTGTATCTTTCCATTCCTTCAAAGGTACTCTGAAAAATTAAAACCGAAAATCATCAAAACGATGAGAAACATTTTCTTCAAGCTGGAAATTATGAATGTTAATAGACTTGAAGACTTCAATGTAAAACAACTGTTTAGAAATTCAAGTGTACCCTGAGGTTTTGCTATATTTAGCTATAAAACACTCTATATTATACAAGAAAGTGGAAACATTGTTAATTCCTTATTCTGATTTTTCTGAAATGCATACCGTTGACTCAGCGATGACTGCCTGGATATGAGTAACCTACATCTGTGAAGTCATAAGTTCACTGTCAAAACAGCCCTATGTACCAGGAAGCTGTCATTATTATCCAATTGGTCTTACAAAATTATGACAAACAGTGAATTTATACAACACAAGCCAACAACCAAAGTTTAGTCTAATCAATGAAAGTGCACCCGCCATCCCTTTCTTTACAAATGGAACTATATTGCTTTAACAAATACATCCGAACAAAAACCTATACAATCTATACTCATAATGAACAGCAACACATGTGTTTTAATCTGCACAAACTAACTTCAAGTTCTGGTTAACCCTACCCACCTGCTGACATCCCTTTGATCTCATACCTAGTCACAGGTATAAAGGTGTATGTTGGGCCTCTTGTCATGACAGCTTGTGACACAAGTGTGTTCAGTGTTTTTTACATGTACCTGTATACATATTTGATACCTTCGACGACTAAGGGAGTAGACCAAGATGATTTCATTAATGAATCAAGATAATAAATCATAAATTGTATATTACATGTACAGGTATAAGTAGAAAAAAATGGAATCTCAATTTTTTTTCATATTTTCGAGAAAATTGTAATTATGTAAATATTTTATCTAAGTCTGTGATATGATTTAGTATAACATGGATAAGGATTGTAAATACAATCAAATACCTTAATGGCCGACCCAACATAAGGAAAGCACAATGTCAATTTGTCATTATGGTATATACTGTTGTACATCTTATCATTTATCAAAAACAGCAGACACCAATGCTGAAGTTATTTTGTAAATATTTTTCACTAATACATTTCTGTACTTTTCGATCAAGTGCTACCACAGTACAGAACTTTGGAATATAGAAATTCTTGCACAAAATATGTGAATTCCTCATCATTTTGACCTTAAGTTTCTCTGATCTAAAATTTCTCTAATTTTAATGTTGGGTACAGTTTTGTTTGAAAATATTTCTGCAGACCTTAATTCAAAATATCTACAGACCTGTGCAGTCCTTCATTAAATCTAGTAACAGATTTTGACTTAAATAGCAATACTTATTGTAGATATATACATGTTTCTATGATAGTAATTGTTTTCCATATGTAAATATATATTTGGGAAAGGTGTAACGTTGTAATAACTTAGTAAGTTGTAATGCCTCATCCCTTGTTCTAAGGTTAACAATAAATATGTTCAAATTGATCACCGTCAGAAAGTTCTGGTAAATTCATTACGGCTGGATACTGTCTACATAATACGTTTGTAAGAATTATCTAATTCCCCAAAACTATCAAATATTCTTTTGCAATTTGATGTTGCAAAGCATGACTGTTCTCGATCTTGCCTATTCCTTCCATGACGGTTGCTACCATTCATTGAACCAGGTGAAAATTGTGCATTTTATACATTAATACTTCAGCAGATTTTGATGCAGTTGGATTTTGAATCATAGATATCCACTATTTCCATCCAAGGTACACCTTAACAAGAAATTTACTCTCTGTCAACATCATCAAACCATGGATTAGTGTGGGGTATGTACATATATACACAAAAATAGGGTAACGTGTTGCTATAACAGTGTGATCCTATATATATATATACTTTAAACGAAGAGTGTATATATACTTCACACATGTAAACACACTGTGAATGTCTGATATAACCAAAATACATGTACCGGCTCTACTACACAGTTCAACATAGTCACATATCTTACTTGACGTTTCTGTAGTCCACCACTGTGACGTGTCCATCCTGTGTCCCATAAACAGCACTCACATCAGACAGATGACAACAGCAGTTGACAGCATCATGTGTAGGCAATTCAAACACCTACAACAACAACATCTCTCAATGATACACCTGATGATGTGCCCCCATCAGGCAGTCTTATATCTATTTCTGCCAGTCAAGTATAAACTGTGCAGAAGCAAATTCAAAATGTTTGTGGTATCAACTTATTGGAATAAAATAATTTATCAAAACATGTAAAGCAATGAACATCTATATGAAATATTTCATAAATTATACCAAACATTATTATTTTTTTTTTTTTTTTTTATCTAGAATTTCTTTATAGTCTGATATTTTGTAGAACAAACAGCTGTTTGAGAAAAACATACCTCAGCTGTTGATGACATATTTCATGTAAACACAAATTTTACCTCTTAAGGCCTCAAAAGCATATAGTATATAGTTTAGCATCTTGTTAATAATTGATGTTGATGTTTGAACTATTTAGTGATTAGCTGTCAGTTGTCATTTGTGACCCTTTACTGCTTGACAAAAGTTGCATAAGAACATTTTTTTACATTTAAGCGGGATTCTGCCAATATCAAAGAGGAAACTTTATACTTCAAGTATTATGTTTTTTTTTAATTCATTTTATTTAGTTTTTTTATTATTATCACTTTTTGTTCCCTTGAAGTTTGCCAATATAGTTTACAGCCATCAAATATACAGCAAACATATATCTAAGAAAAGAGTATTCAATTGATACTGCATCTTAATTTCATGAATATCTAAAATCTCAGTCAAATTAGTGAAGGAGAAGTGCCAGAATTGAAAAATACAGATCTGCTTGGGAGAAGGGAGATAACTCTTAAAATTATTTAACTCTTTCAAAATTCTAAAGGTGGTTTAAGAAAACATGACTTTTCTGACTTTGTGTACAGAGTTTCTTGCAACAATTCAATAGTTTAAAATATGCTTTATACCATTCATCAAGAATTCAAGAAGCTCTAAATCATCATTTTAAGCATGCCCCTTGCCACTCTAACTTTATTGAAATGGCAAATCAAAATAGTAGGAAGAGCACAACAGCTGAGGCCAGGTGTAGTAATACTGTGACTGCCGACATGTTTTTTTTTAAATGGATAAGCCAAACTACCTTTTTGCGACTCTGTAGGCCATACCCTTGTAAGGTCTTGTTCTCACAGCCTAACAATAGCAACTTGCCTTCTGTCAGCACTTCTCTGTCACCTGAAGTTATATAGAGTCAGTTCCCTTCAGTCTCAGATACCACATCCTCTGATAGCACTAGAGACAATTGTTCCAACATTTTGAATGGATATCAGATATTTACCTACCTAGTATCACACTTTATATTGATCACTAACATCCATATTTATCCTGTAATAAGCCAAGGGATCAATTTGACAAATTCTGACACAAAAACAAGAGCCTTGTGTATTAGAAAACAATAAAATAATTTTCAAGCAGATTCAGAAAAGCTTTATTTTTGTAACAGAGGTCATTATTTATTTCAATGAGAGAAGTTCTCTCTGGCCGAGTGGTATATTGCAGCTAGTATTTTACCAGGGTTACATTTTCATGTCCATGTTTAATGACACACTTAACTATGTTTGAGCCATTTTTGTGTTTCCATGGCAAAAAATATGAAATCAGAGCTTTATAATATACATCATACTTGCTTGATTGGCTAACAGAAAGAGAGAAAGGGTGCAGAAATCTGTGACACCAAGAATCAAAATATCCTTTCTTGCAAAATAAATAAATTGAAAATTTTGACCTACAATGGATATAGGGAAGGTCATACTGCCATAACAAATGCTTACTAGGTGGCGCCGCTGGTTGTCCTAGATCCCCACAGACATCGCTAGGGACACCAATACTACAACAATTCACCTCACCACCACAATCAGAGAACACATCTAAACACGCCTGCTGTCCAACATCCCAAAGACGTGCAGTTCCATCCCGTCCACAGGAGACAATGTTCCGTCCACGATCTACAATGGCTGTGTCCTGAACACCTAAAGAACAACCACCCAATATTCATTGTAGCAAAGTGAATACTGTATTTGAATAATGTAAACGTTGAGTAAAAATAAAATCAGGCAAAACAGATACTTTGGAAAAGTACAATTGATAATGAAATCCATTGTCCAGTTCATAATTTACAAGAAAACTATAATTTTCATACCTTGGTATGACCATGAAATTTTTAACCCTACAAAAACAACATGAAAAATAAGCATCTACCTGCCCTGTGGCCAATGAGTGTTGCTCCACATTTGCCAGTTTCTGCTGACCAGATCTTTAGCTGCATGTCAGAACCACCCGACAACACAACCAATCCAGAGGGGAAGAACCGACAAGTGTAAACATCGCCGAGATGACCCTCTAACTCTCTCTGTTACACAATCAGATAAAATATCAGGGCAAGTGTAAACATCGCCGAGATGACCCTCTAACTCTCTCTGTTACACAATCAGGGAAAAATCAGGGCAAGTGTAAACATCGCCGAGATGACCCTCTAACTCTCTCTGTTACACAATCAGATAAAATATCAGGGCAAGTGTAAACATCGCCGAGATGACCCTCTAACTCTCTCTGTTACACAATCAGATAAAATATCAGGGCAAGTGTAAACATCGCCGAGATGACCCTCTAACTCTCTCTTTTACACAATCAGAGAAAATATCAGGGCAAGTGTAAACATCGCCGAGATGACCCTCTAACTCTCTCTGTTACACAATCAGATAAAATATCAGTGCAATCAAATCATTCTGACATTCTACGAAAATAATTAAAAGTAAATGATTTTCCAGCTGACAACAGGCGGATTAGAAATAGGAAGATTATGACAACAATAATGAGTTACCCTGATTTCTCCATTGCTTGTTTGCCAGATCCTCAGTCGTCCTAGACTGTCAGCTGACACACCTAGTCCTCCAGGTGTGGTATCTACACAAGAAATCTATCAGAAAAAAAGAAAAGAAAAAAAAGGAGCATAAAATTGAGTCAAACAATGATGACAACTTATGATAACTTTACTTAATACATGCATTATTATTTTTATTTATTATTTTGTTTTTCAATGTTTTAGATAACTTCTAAATGCAATTTTAAGTCTTTATTTTTATTAATTATCAAATTTTGCCAATTCATGACTCTAATTTTTTTTTCTTTTACTTTTATAATATGTCAAATTTAAGCAGTCATCATTTAACTTTAAAAAAAAATAAAGTCTGTGTATACAATGTTATAATTTCTTTGACAAAAAGAGAAAGCTTTCCCAAATGTAAAGTCAAAAGGTGGCCTTTTTAAAGATAATACTAACCGTTTTTCCCGGTGTGTGTACAGTTGAAAAAGTGATTCGTGGGGCTAAAAATAACCTGGTTAACTCAACCGAGTCTGATTTGTAGGTGACTGATATTGATTTCTGTAAATCAAGTTCAATGACAAATGAGTGAATGGTTATAGATGCAACCCTTACATTGCACACATATATTGCATGCTGCTACCACTACTGGCTGCCACAGGAATTTTTTTAGAACTATCCACACCATGCTATTATAATCTTTTTTCTTTTTTTTCCTAGCATGCACCAGTAGGTAACAAGGAAGGAAATAAATGTATATCTGCATAATATGTACATTGTATATATGTATGTATATGAACATTGTTTTTGAAAACAAAGTGAAAACAAAAAAAAACAATAGCAAATCAGAAACGATTAATGGTTGTCGAAAGCCAACATACATGCTCAATATAACGAAGTTATCAATTTCATAAGAAATGTTATTGATGTTATTATTGAAATCTACAAATATCTATATATTATTGTTTTCACTATATTCTAGAAAAAAAATTGATTTATAAAATTTTATCTTCTCGACCTTTGTGACTTCCTGGACAGCAAATCCATCAGACCCTGTCACATATGGTATTCCATCTGATGAAGCTCCCTGGGATGTCAATTTTCCATGAGTGCTCGGTGGTACTGTACGATGGTAAATATTTTTATGTATATTTAAATTTATACATAAATGTTTATTTTGATTTCAATAATGCATTTGCATTGTAATGCTAGCTTCATTTTGTAAATACATACATGTGTGTAGTAAGACTAGAATGCTTACAAAATAATCCATTTGCAAACCAATATTTGTTCTGCTAACCAAAAAGTTACTGCATGGATATCAACAACATATTTTTAGTATTTTGATGAAAAAAAATTGACACTGACTTTAAAAAGTTCATTTTGGTTACTACTGCATCTTCTAGGAAATTCAATGCTTCCATTAAATCAAAATGCTTTTTTCAATTATTACCTGTAGCATTCACAGCAACATTCTTCCCTACAATTCAAAAGGATTCAGAAATACCAGAGGTGGTGATCTTAGTTCTTAACAGAAAATATGAAAGTACATTTCCTATTATTTCAGTGATAGTGATCCACATGTCAAAATGTGTGAAACATTGCAAGGTGGATTTCAAAGAGGATATGCTTAATTATAAGACAAATAGTATGTAATTCTGCTAAAAATGTCATTCTAACACACCTGATTCAAAACATTCAATGCCACAATATGTAAATGAAATCATTGGGACAATAATTATCCATTTGAAACTTAAGAGCTGCTTGACTCTGCAAATTGAACTATTCTGCATATACAGAAAGACGTGTTGTTGTTTTTTTACTTCCATTACTGTTTTATTTGGAGGTAACAATGAATTACTCACTACTACTGAACATCTCTCAGCTAGGAATTAACACATTGTCATATTATTTATGAAAATGTTAAAGTCTTACTATTCAAAACCACACCTAGCTAATTCATATTTCACAGATCACTAAAATGTAACTCAAATTTGAATCCACTTCATGTATATACAGACAGAGCCAATACAGCCAATAGAAAAATACAATTTTGACTGGTACCCATGTGTTTAGAAGCATGATAACTCACTTATATTTTTTCGTTTTAATCATGTCCGGATTTCCTTTCTCCGACTTATCCCTTTATTCACGACTAATGCTACGTTACTGTGAATACCATATTATGAATAACAATTAAAAATATTTTCAAACTGGAAAATCTCCAGACAGTTCACGTATGATCCAAATGAATATCAAAGAATGACATAGTGGGTCCATTCCGTTTAGAAAATATTGATTTCATATCCATTACCAGCTATTCTGTGTAAATCAACGTTTGCAGAAGCCGGGCAATGAATCGCATTTTTTTTTGAAAACTAAATAAAAATAATTCTTGTGAAAATAAACTTATGATTTTTGACAAATAAACTAACATGTCATTAAAGAAGGAAATGTCTGGCACATTTTCTTTAAATCCGATCAGTTTCAGTCTCATTTCCTTCCACTTTTGCAAATTAACTTTTTTTTTTTTCAAATCCATTTCGGTAATATCCAAGTCCTACAAAATGTGCTCATGTAACACTTACTTTCTGTTTTAAACGTTATCCACGTTGATTCGTTAGATTTCCTGAAAATAGAAGAGACAAACGTAAGATATAACTTTTTAACAATAGATGACATTCATAAAACAAAAGCTACGAGCAAGACATACCCCAAAACCTGATCCCAATCCGATTGTAATATTAACCGTCCCATGGACGCAGCCATCTTGACGATTCTAAGTTACAGCACGGTGCGGCGATTCCGGAAAATAAAACATTTGTTCATCGTCATTTAGTGATTCAATATTCCTTCGTATATGAACTATAGTACTTTTGTTTTGATATATCCCGTTTTTGCCGTCAATACTACACGTATATTGGACATTTTGAACGCTGAGTGTTGACAATGATATCTATGTATAATAAAACAAGAACACAGAGATGTAACAATAGATATACGATTGTTTTTACGTACAATGCCAAATATGTCATAATTTCAAAATGAATACAACTACGGAAAGAATACTTTTTTTAATATAATGTCACTGTTGAAGCAAACGTTTGTCAGCATAGTAAAGCCTACCAAAAGGCAAGCTTACAAGACGTTCACTGGTTTATTGAACATATAAACTCAGGGGAATGATCTTCAGAAAAGATCAAGCAAAGGGCAATAACTCTTCAAATATTGTCGAGTCTAAATGCCAAGATAGTAAAAATATTGAGATATGTTTTGTGGTAAACCCCATTCCAAGAGTGGATCCAGGAATTCTTTGCATCTTCATCGGAGACAAATCAAACAAACCAAAAGGCGGGGAAAGGGGGAGAATCGGCGTCGGAATCTATTTTTTAGGGGGGGGGGGGTCAGTTTTACAAAAATTGCGCCCCTCTAACCCGAAATCCTGGATCCGTGCCTGAAATTATACCAAGTTTTAAAAGACAAGTCACAAAAACTGAGAAGAGGGCGATGTCTCAACATTTCTAAAATGAAGAAAAGGACAATCACTTGATTCTTTTCAAAAATGATGAATCCGAATTCCATTCAAGAAAACTCAAAATACAGTATAATGTCACCATTGTTATAATGTCTACCAAGTTTAAAGGGGAATGGCGCCATGGTAAGGTAGTAGGAAACAGTTAATTTGAATGTTTTCTGAAGTTATAGAACAGGTTTGAGACTGAGGCTGGTGAAGAAAGACAAATGTGGCGAGTCCCGTTCTGCCTCTAACCAGAACAATGTTTCCGTAGTAAAGAATATACCTAATTTGAAAAAGTTAAGAGTTTCAAGAGAAGAACGATCAAGAGTGATCTTAAATTTACGCAGAATATTTAATTTTGATGATATATCAGTCTTAAGACCCACATCATCCACTTCAACATGATTATACCAGTTTTAGAGAGCATTTATTTTATTAGCATAAATAATGGACGCAGACTTAAAGCCTCTATGTCCATATCAAATATTACATATTGCATAGTAAGTAATTCCTGTGTAATGGCTTATATTAGTTAATTAATGTACAATCATGTATAGAAACGGATATTTTTCCAATGTTCATCTAACATTATTTTAAATTTTATTACAGAGTCCACATTTTGCAAGGTAAAATTTTAAGAAAATATCAATTTGGTCACACCAAGAAACTGTGAAATGCTATGCATCTTCCAAATTTTGTTGAATCACAATGTCGTTTAGGAAAACACGCCTGGGTGTCCCAAAGTGTTAAAGACATTCGTTTTAGAAACTTCGAGACTATGCTTTATCGTTCCATTAATGTGTAACAATTGGTGAGATTAGAAGGGAAGGCGGAGGCGAAATAGACGTACAAATGTAGGTGAAAGGCGAGTGCTATTCTGCCGTGCCATTCGACCATTTTTACACTCGTTAACCGTTATTTCAGCTAAACAAATAATGAAACTCCTCTCTAATTTCGTTTTTGTTACAAAGGCGGGATATTCTATTTTCTCTGTGGATGTTGTTCCATTTCCAACATTGGATCAGTAATTTAACATTGCATGTTCTAAATTTGCAATAATCATTAATCTATCAGTAGTGTTGTAGGGGGACGTATAATTTAGTAAAGTATAAAGTGATTTTTATATTGTTTGCAGTTTGACTATTGTGTATTAGGATTTTCAGATTTTTTTTACAATTTGTTATTCAGTTTTTTATATGTAGAATGTGATAATATAACGCGACCTTAGAGTATATACAACAGTCAAACAAATGTTAATAATTACTCTGTTGTTACAGTAGGGATTCCCGGTCTCTCTTTGTGAGATAAAGTCACTATACGATCACAGTAGTAAGTAAAACTTCAATGGCTATTACAGATGAGAGGGAACATTTCCTGGTTATCTTTTCAATTTCCAACATTAAATCGCAAGTAAGTACAGGAAAACTTCTAATCTGCCTACACACACCAACTTGCGGTCACATTTCACCGAACACTGACTTTCCCTTAGATTTCTGTATGTGACAGTCTTGATCGATTACTAATGATAATGTATGGAACCACACATCTCTCTTGCTGATTAGCAAATATGGCAACTAAAATTCGAAATAACACCTGATCTACTGTTAGTTCACTTAATAATTTAGTTCATTTTGATATGGATATCTAAATTCACCATTTGAAACAAACCCCAGATTATTTAAAACACGTCACGGTTAAGATTTAATAGATGGGGAAAGGATGCAAATCCTGCAGTATTCGGTCTATATTTGTCTATTATAACTCCATAGTGTCATTAGGAAGACAATGACTTCAAGGTTTTGCATCATTAATTGATGACGTAACGTTATTTCACCGTAAATGCATTTATTCGCAGACAAATGAGGGAATGATGTTATGACAAAATAACAAAGCTATCAAACGGGCATATGTTTACATCCACAAAATAAGCATAAACATGTATATTCGTAAAATTAATAAATAAACATACAAACTTTCTTCCTCGGCAGTTCCCGTTACATGCATATCTTTCGATAGTTTCCGCTTCATCCTCCGCCAATTTCAGTTACTTTTCCCACCGTTTTCGTTAAATCCTCAGCGTTATTTAACCTAAATGAAAACAACCATCACGTCAGGATTGAAAATAACACGTAGAGATGAAATTAATTACATTGATTCATTTGAAGTTATTCAATCACCTGCTTCGAAAATAAAATTGTAAAGTAATCCCGGGGAAATGATGCCATAGACAACACAAATATTTTATCATGTTTTTGAATAATAAAAAGTATTGTTGAAATTAAAAATTTTTGACAGATAATTGACTGCAATTAATGAGAAAGTTAATGAACTTTTATAAAATGGAAAATATACATTCAATATTACGTCATTTTTCTATTCAAATGAACTGAATTTATGAAACATTTCAATTTGGGTACCCCTAAGTGTTGAAATGCATTGCTGAACCTAGCAGTCCTTTTTGTATTCCATTTATAGAAATGTGCATTGTTGACATGTAAGCAAATCAGGAAAAGAAAAGCTGAAGGAATCTAATTGTGAAATATCAAGAAAAATGCAAGTGTCAAACACTCAGTAGAATTTTATACAATTTTCATCAGAAAGTATTCCAATTTGGGTAGTGTTACATATATTTATATCGTGTTTTTTCATTTCACACCCGTGTAGTATGTCTTATTTTAAAGTCAATTTAAATCCTCAAGTTACACACATGACATTGTGACGTAGAACAGAGAATGGGGACTCTATAGAGCGGACATAATAAAGTTGACGTAGAAATGTCCGTTTTCTACAATATTTTCGTGAAAAACCGATCACGTGATAAAACGAATCTGTTAGATTTAGATTCGGTTCCCTTTGATATATGAAACCTGTTAGGAAATTTTCATATTAATTCGCCAACGGCTCGCAAAGATAGAAAAAATTTAAAAGACTCGTTTCGTAAATTCACGTATCAAATGACAATTTGTTAACGTTATATACATATATCTGTCTTCATATTGGCTCTGCTACTGATACTACACTACCGAGCCTCCATACTTTGTTGTCGTAGGTACTACGTAGCCATTTATCGGAAACGTCTGTCGTCGGAAGTTACCAACCATGTTATTCCTCAGGAAAAAGTTTCATAAAAAACTGCAGATACTTATTGCTATCGCTTTAGTCCTTAGTTGGACGTTGACAATGTTTTGGATAGCCAAAGCGTTCAAACAAAGGCTAACTTATGAAGATGCGCTGATCAAAGTATCACCGACACATTCATCGCCGTCTGATTTTAGAATCATCGACAAAAGTAAAATCAATGTTGGTCAAACCTTACGAGGAGAAAACAGATTGAACGAATACGGACGTAATGGGATTAAGGATGCTACTCAACCACGCAGATTTTCTGACATAATTAAGGAATTCAACATTTCATTATATAAGGACACAAGCGCTGACCGTTTCCATATCAACGTCAACAAAACTCACAACATATCAGTGAACCGTGAAGTAATAGACACACGTCCTGCTGAGTGCGCCTCTGTAAAATATAACATTTTGTTACTTCCGAGGGCGTCCATAGTGATACCAGTCTACAACGAGCCTTGGTCGACGTTGGAGAGACTCATAAACAGCGTTTTGAAGCATTCTCCCCGTTCACTTATTCATGAAATCATGATCATTGACGACCAGAGTGATTTAGAACATTTGGGTGCCCCCTTGGATAAATATGTTGAACAATTTGATTTTATGCATCTATACAGATCGAAAGAAAGACTGGGAACTATGAAATCAAGAATGTTTGGCACTAAGAAGGCGGAAGCGGAAGTGATCGTTTTTCTCGACTCCCACACGGAGGTAAATTCTGGATGGTTAGAGCCTATACTATATGAAATAAGTGTAAATAAAACCGCAATTGTACAACCATCCATTGACGTAATTGACGCACAAACATTTGAATACAGAAAATACTTTGACAATAATAGAAGGGGTCATTTTAGATGGAATATGGGCTATCATTTCGTTCCATTACACCCTAAACAACAAGCAGAAGTCATAGCTAATCCTACTAAAGCATTCGACACTCCTGCCATCGTGGGCTGTGCTTTCGCAGTAAACCGGAAATACTTTACTGATATTGGAGGACTTGACACGGACATGCGCACATGGGGCGGAGAGGACGTGGAACTCTCTATCAGAGTTTGGCTATGCGGCGGAAGTATGAAAATCTCGCCGTGTTCCCATGTTGCTCATATTTTCAAAGCAGGACATCCATTTAAGATGGATTACTCAGACCTTGTCTACAACAACCGACGGACGGCGGAACTATGGCTCGGTAATTATAAGAAATACTTCTATTACTTCAGTGCCGGATTCGCAAAACCCCCGGATCCATCAGACAAGTTCGATATCATGGATCCAGTTAAAGAGAAGTTTAAATGTAAAGATTTTGGTTGGTTTCTTCGAAACGTTTTTCCGGAACTTGAAGTTCCGCCAGCAGGAAGTGAATATTTTGGAAACTTGCGCAACTCCGTTTCAGGCCAATGTTTTGGTCTTGCAAATTCTGCCGTCTTACTGTCACACCCATTAATTACTACAGCCGAGTGCTACTTTTACTATCAGGTTAAGAATTTCGCTTTGCTTGAAAACGGTCGTTTAATGGTGGAGGGAAAATGCGTCAAAGTAGAGAAAGGTTTTCTAGTAGTGGCGCCCTGCTCAACCAGGATTGGTAAGTGGAGTTTGAAAGATAAAAAACTGATGTATGCTGAAGGTTCACAATGTGCCATGCAAGTGCCCAAGGAGGTGAAAAATGAGAAGCTACAAGTCATCGGATTAGTATCGTGTAATAAAACCGATAACACATCAGAGTGGGAAATTGCTACAAAAATATTCAAAGGTTCATGAGAGGAAATAACGATGTAAGGTTCGGTTAAAACAAAGGAAGGGTATTAGATATCACCAAAATTCTGTCTTTGCATTTTTTGTTTTCCTATTTCTAACCTTGTTTTACAAATTTATTTATTTTCTTCTTTTGTAATGTTTGTATTTTTCCAACGTTCATGGTATTACTTTGAACTTTTCACCTTTCTGAGGCACAATTGTTCTAGTGTAGTACCGTTATCATCTCGTTATCGACTTTTTCAACCTGATTTGAATATATTTTATTATTTTACAATCTATGAGGAATTTTTTCATGTTAAGGGGAAAAAGAATGAAGATATATATTATGTCTCAGGTCACTTCTTGTCATAAAGTACATAAGGTAATTTTGGAATTGAATTTGATAACGAGATTAATGACATGTTGCCATTCGTTAAAACTTAAATTGCAATGTTGCAAATAGTGTGTTGTGATTTAACAGGGAATTCCAGAAGGATCGTCACGCCCACCACCGAATAGCTTTTGTTATCTACTTTCCCCCTTTTCCCCATGTTCACTTTCTTATTTGATAACAAGGAATCCTGCTTATGAAATATCAGAATGAAACAAAGAATGGAAGAACCTACCACCTGATGACACGGGCAAAAGTATTTTATCATAATGTATCATTGGAGTGTAGAAGTGTACGAGATTTCAATTTGTAGAGAAAGAAAGAATAAAACGAAGAAAAAAGAAGAAAAAAGAAAGAAAGAGGATATTTAGGAAAATACAGATATAAACACTGACTTAAAGAAAATTAGAAATACGATAATAGAATACAGCAATGAAAATGGAAAAACAAAGATAGAATGTTGGTGGTAATACCCTCCTATATACGGTTTAGCATGTGCCTAGTAATTGTAAATCTCCTCTTCAATTTTGTGAAGTCTTAGTAAAAGCAGCTGGAATAACTACAAAAAAAGTCCGATAAAAAATCGATTTTACAGTTTTGCAAATGTTGCTATTTTGGTGATCCAATTTTTTAACGGCTTTACTGAAAGTTCGAAACAAAAATGAAGCTTTTTTTCGTTTTTCTGACATTTATATTCACACTTGTCATATATCATTTTTTTTCTTTGTCTTGAGAATGGGTTCCATCCCAAGCTCAATGTTTTGAATAGAAGAAATAAACTTTTAACACATCAGATTTTGTGCATTTCTGTGCATTTGTCCTTTGAATGAAATATACAAATACTAATATGGATTTCTTTGGATAGACACGTACATGATTGATAAGACATAGTCCTGATCAATACCTGATCACGACATATGCACCGCCAGGAAAGTACTTACCGATGTTCTGCTTCCGTGAAAGTAAATATAAAACAATACTGTATTAATTAATTATCTCTGATTCATGAAATTGTAATTTTAATATATTGAATGACAATGGTTGAAATCTAAAATTGATGAAATTTTATGTTCTGCGTTTTGGTAACAAGGTTTTGTTGCAGTGGACTTTTTGTTGAACATTTCATGAAATGTAACATTCGACTGTCTTACTGAAGTACCGTTGTATTGCCATCCCCGTTATACTGCCAAAATTGGCACGGAATAGAATGTGGCAGTGTAACGGAGGACTACTTAGGCACTTTATTTACCAGTGTTTCCACAGATTAATAAATAAAGGGGAAATTGTTCAGCTTACTACTCCGTGGTTTGTGTTAGTTCAATTGTGTTAATATTACCAAATCTTGCTTCGTCATTAGAACATTCGGACTCCAGAATTACTTCTACTTCAACTGAGTAAGGACCTACTTAGTGAAGGTTATGATAAAATGTGTGATGTGAATAGATGGGAACAGTATTAATACCGATGTGCAGAAATCGCAACTTTGAAGAAAGGCAAGGATTAAAAGGAGACAATTTCGGAAGGAGGGAGGGGTGTTCACATCATAGATTGTACGAGGGAAGAAGGATTCCTTCCTGAAAGATATTTTACAAGAAACAGTTTAGAGAGAAAACTAATGACTATATCTGATTTGTCTTGAAGTTAGTCTGAGATGTTTGAACGTAATGGCAATTTTTGAATTGTGTATTTTGTAAAACATTACCAGTCTCGAACTGAGGACCAAGCCTTGGGAGACCCCGGATCTTACTGGGACAGGATCGGACATTTCCCTTTCTACTATGACAGACTGGGTTCTACAATTTAGGAAGTTAGATATACAGAAAATAGCTTTTCCAGTTACTTCATAGCCCTTAAGTTTACGGAAGAGTAGTGTATGAATGACTTTGTCAAAAGCCTTTCTTAAGTCCATATAGCTTGTTTACTTCCCTTCCTTTCACTCTTGCTGGACACCTTGCATAATTGACTACGTAGATTTATTTTGCAGTCCCAAATTTCTGACACAGATATTTACTAATTCTATCTTCCTTATATCTAGATAATTCTATACAAAGTAGTTTCAATAATACGGAACGTGAAAACTGAATCATGGAAATCAACTAAATAATTTTCGGAATATCTTAATAAACGGCATGTCTGGAAAATGTTTTATTCTAAGCGTTTTTAACACTGACACTTTTAAATATAGAGTGCGATATGCGTACATGTATCTGTCTTGCCTGAAGACATAAAAAATATCGCAAGGGAAATAACTCCGCAACTCTTATGTAAATACTACCACTTAACAAGTTCCTCACATTTTCATTAAAAGGTAACATACATCAAAAATTACATATGACACAATAACGTTCGCCATCACTTTTTCAAAATTAACCTCACTCTGTAACGGAAGTAATTTGAACGTAATAAAGTCACCCTTTACCCTTCCATCTTACCCCATTTACCTTCGTCTGGTATAGAAAGTGTCGATTACCTGTCCACGCAATCGATCAACTGTGACCATGCGTACGGAAGCTCATAACGGCCACACTTTGCAGTGCATTGTGTATAAACATCAGTCAAAACATTTTAAGGTAGACACATGGTATTTCCAGGGGTAATTCAACTCTAGTTATCAGTTTTGAAAATAGTGAGTAAAAATGCACCGGAGAGTTCCAGTCAAATAAATTCGGCACAAGTTTGACCTTTTCGTCCATAATGGTGGTCCGTAGATTACACCCTAACGAGATACACGTGCGAGCGACAGTCACCAGTTATTGTTTACAAAGGTCGTCCCAAGTCTTCGTACAATAACCAACTATGTTCCCAAGGAATTTACGGCTGGCCCTAATGCTGACAGCAATGTTTGCGTGGACATCAGTGGTGTTTTGGGTAACGAAAACACATCGACCCACCTTCACGGAAGACGGGAGATTGGTGATCAACCCGCCACTGATGTAAGTTACTCATTACTTCCGGTTCTGACGCAAGTCAGCCTATTTTGATTAGTTCTGAAAGAGTGTACAAAAGACACACGAGCAGAATTTTGATACAGGACTTGTATATAACCAAGTGATGAATTCAGCCGTATCTTACAAATGGATTGCCCTTGTTGGACTCGTCAGTGATGCCAGGGGCTTGGGGTGTTGGGAGATCTATGAGGCAAAATTGGGTGAAAAAAAATTAAGATATAAATAGAGAAGTGTGTGTTAACCACATAATTCAATAATAATGGATAATTTGATGTAACGATGCTTCTTTTTCTCAATAGAAAATGTCAGTCATGTATGAAAAGAGATGAATATGTTAAAGAATGTACAAATGATACCAATGAATAGTACCTTTTAATACAGATTTGGATTGGATACAGTAGAGCCAAACAATCAATTAAACTGTATTATACCAATACCAGTGTTTCGTCCTTCAGTGATGTTAAGGTCCTAAATGTTAAACTAAGAAGGTGACTGATTAAATTCCAAAGTAATGGAATGAAAAGTCAAAGATTACATGGGGCCCCATAATTTAGTTCATTTCGTAATTTTTATGTATCTAATCATTTTAGACACATTTGCATACACATTTTATTTATTTCGTTATAAATAAGCATTAAAATCACATTCCAGTACAGAGGGGTTTGCCACGAATTCCTAACCTGACCTTTAGTGAGACACTGGTGATATTAATACACTTACCAGAGGGTGATAAAGTGCCTGTGCTCCCACAGTGTTCCATCATACTTTTATTTGTACCTTGTAGGGAAGCCAGATTTTACCAACATTCTGATAGAAGAAGCAACTCAGCAATAAAACGAAACAGGAAAGGCACCAATGTCAATAAATTATTTCACAGAAAACAGAAGCTTGAGTTAGGTCCAATGGGTAACAATGGCGGAAATCACCGACACAGTTTCTCTGAAACAATCCAAGAATTTGGCATTGCTTTGTTTAAAGATACAGATCCAAAACGTTTTTACATTAACGTTAACAAATCTCACCAAACCCCTGTGGATCGGGAGGTACCAGATACACGACCTGTCGATTGTACATCAGTTCAATATGATATTGCTTCACTTCCGGTTGCGTCGGTAGTAATATCTTTGCATAATGAACCATGGTCTACATTCGAAAGGCTTATAAACAGCATTATAAGGCATTCGCCTCCATCGCTTATTCGTGAAATCATCATAATTGACGATATGAGTGATCTAGAACATTTGGGAGCACCCTTGGATGCTTACGCTGATCAATACGAATTCATACGAATACACAGAGCTAAGGAAAGACTCGGAACTATGAAAACAAGAGTTCTAGGGACTTCGATTGCCAAAGGGGATGTGGTTGTTTTCTTGGATTCACATACAGAGGTCAATGTTGGCTGGTTGGAACCTTTATTATACGAAATCGGACGAGATCATACATCTATTATACAACCTTCTATTGACACCATTGACCCGGAAACCTTTCAATATAGCCGGTATTTCGACAATGATATGAGAGGTCATTTCCAATGGAGTATGGCGTTCAGTTTTGTACCATTAACCCCAAAACAAAAATCGGAAGTTAATTCAAATCCGACAAAAGCATTCAAAACCCGCTGAACATGCTGAAAAAATTGGCATAATGGATAACATCAAGCAAAAGTTTAAATTGTATACTTTGTCTCTGTCTTTATAACATTGTATACTTCAGTATCTGTCTTTATAACATTGTATACTTCAGTCCCTGTCTTTATAACATTGTATACTTCAGTCTCTGTCTTTATCTGTATACTTCAGTCTTATAACATTGTATACTTCAGTCTCTCTATCTTTATAACATTGTATACTTCAGTCTCTCTATCTTTATAACATTGTATACTTCAGTCTCTGTCTTTAAAACATTGTATACTTCAGTCTCTGTCTTTATAACATTGTATACTTCAGTCTCTGTCTTTATAACATTGTATACTTCAGTCTCTGTCTTTATAACATTGTATACTTCGGTCTCTCTCTCTTTATAACATTGTATAGTCTCTCTCTTTATCAGTCTCTCTCTCTGTCTTTATAACATTGTATACAGTCTCTATCTTTATAACATTGTATACTTCAGTCTCTATCTTTATAACATTGTATACTTCAGTCATTGTAAACTACAGTCTTATAACATTCTATACTTCAGTCTCTGTCTTTATAACATTGTATACTTCAGTCTCTATCTTTATAACATTGTATACTTCAGTCTCTATCTTTATAACATTGTATACTTCTTTCCCTGTCTTTATAACATTGTATACTTCAGTCTCTGTCTTTATAACATTGTATACTTCAGTCTCTGTCTTTATAACATTGTATACTTCAGTCTCTATCTTTATAACATTGTATACTTCAGTCTCTGTCTTTATAACATTGTATACTTCAGTCTCTCTATCTTTATAACATTGTATACTTCAGTCTCTCTCTCTTTATATCATTGTATACTTCAGTCTCTGTCTTTATAACATTGTATACTTCAGTCCCTGTCTTTATAACATTGTATACTTCAGTCTCTGCCCTTCTCACATTGTATACTTCAGTCTCTGTCTTTATAACATTGTATACTTCAGTCCCTGTCTTTATAACATTGTATACTTCAGTCTCTGTCTTTATAACATTGTATACTTCAGTATCTGTCTTTATAACATTGTATACTTCAGTCTCTGTCTTTATAACATTGTATACTTCAGTCTCTGTCTTTATAACATTGTATACTTGTATACTTCAGTCTCTCTCTTTATAACATTGTATACTTCTCTCTCTCTCTCTGTCTTTATAACATTGTATACATTGTATACTTCAGTCTCTCTCTTTATAACATTGTATACTTCAGTCTCTCTCTCTTTATAACATTGTATACTCTCTCTCTTTATAACATTGTATACTTCAGTCTCTCTCTCTTTATAACATTGTATACTTCAGTATCTGTCTTTATAACATTGTATACTTCAGTCTCTGTCTTTATAACATTGTATACTTCAGTCTCTGTCTTTATAACATTGTATACTTCAGTCTCTGTCTTTATAACATTGTATACTTCAGTCTCTCTATCTTTATAACATTGTATACTTCAGTCTCTCTCTCTTTATAACATTGTATACTTCAGTCTCTCTATCTTTATAACATTGTATACTTCAGTCTCTCTCTCTTTATAACATTGTATACTTCAGTCTCTCTCTCTTTATAACATTGTATACTTCATTCTCTGTCTTTATAACATTGTATACTTCAGTCTCTCTCTCTTTATAACATTGTATACTTCAGTCTCTCTATCTTTATAACATTGTATCTTCAGTCTCTCTCTTTATAACATTGTATACTTCAGTCTCTGTCTTTATAACATTGTATACTTCAGTCTCTCTTTATAACATTGTACTTAGTCTCTGTCTTTACAACATTGTATACTTCAGTCTCTCTCTTTATAACATTGTATACTTCAGTATCTATCTTTATAACATTGTATACTTCAGTCTCTCTATCTTTATAACATTGTATACTTCAGTCTCTCTCTCTTTATAACATTGTATACTTCAGTCTCTCTCTCTTTATAACATTGTATACTTCAGTCTCTCTCTCTTTATAACATTGTATACTTCAGTCTCTCTCTCTTTATAACATTGTATACTTCAGTCTCTGCCCTTCTCACATTGTATACTTCAGTATCTGTTTTTATAACATTGTATACTTCAGTCCCTGTCTTTATAACATTGTATACTTCAGTCCCTGTCTTTATAACATTGTATACTTCAGTCTCTGTCTTTATAACATTGTATACTTCAGTCTCTGTCTTTATAACATTGTATACTTCAGTATCTGTCTTTATAACATTGTATACTTCAGTCTCTCTCTTTATAACATTGTATACTTCAGTCTCTGTCTTTATAACATTGTATAGTCTCTGTCTTCAGTCTCTCTCTTTATAACATTGTATACTTCAGTCTCTCTGTCTTTATAACATTGTATACTTCAGTCTCTCTCTCTTTATAACATTGTATACTTCAGTCTCTCTGTCTTTATAACATTGTATACTTCAGTCTCTCTCTTTATAACATTGTATACTTCAGTCTCTGTCTTTATAACATTGTATACTTCAGTATCTGTCTTTATAACATTGTATACTTCAGTCTCTCTCTTTATAACATTGTATACTTCAGTCTCTGTCTTTATAACATTGTATACTTCAGTCCCTGTCTTTATAACATTGTATACTTCAGTCTCTGTCTTTATAACATTGTATACTTCAGTCTCTGTCTTTATAACATTGTATACTTCAGTATCTGTCTTTATAACATTGTATACTTCAGTCTCTCTCTCTTTATAACATTGTATACTTCAGTCTCTCTCTCTTTATAACATTGTATACTTCAGTATCTGTCTTTATAACATTGTATACTTCAGTCTCTATCTTTATAACATTGTATACTTCAGTCTTTATAACATTGTATACTTCAGTCTCTCTTTATCTCTTTATAACATTTCTTTATAAACATTGTATACTTCATTGTCTCTCAGTCTCTTTATAACATTGTATACTTCAGTCTCTCTCTTTATAACATTGTATACTTCAGTCTCTCTCTCTTTATAACATTGTATACTTCAGTCTCTCTCTATAACATTGTATACTAACAGTCTCTGTAACATTGTATACTTCAGTCTCTCTGTCTTTATAACATTGTTTACTTCAGTCTCTCTCTCTTTATAACATTGTATACTTCAGTATCTGTCTTTATAACAGTGTATACTTCAGTCTCTATCTTTATAACATTGTATACTTCAGTCTCTCTCTCTTTATAACATTGTATACTTCAGTCTCTCTGTCTTTATAACATTGTATACTTCAGTCTCTCTATCTTTATAACATTGTATACTTCAGTCTTCCTATCTTTATAACATTGTATACTTCAGTCTCTCTCTCTCTCTTTATAACATTGTATACTTCAGTCTCTCTCTCTTGGCTAAGTCTCTCTTCTTTGAGCAAATGACATTAAGCAAAGTTTTTTAGTCTTGTTTTAACATTGTATACTTCAGCTCTCTCTCTCTCTCTTTATAACATTGTATACTTCAGTCTCTGTCTTTATAACACGATCATTTGCATTCATAGTCTTATCTACATATAGAGACTAATGGCAGGAGAAATGTGCGCTTGAGTATTACAAACATATTACATGAAGCATTCGCCCAATGACATTACCGACAATTATTCCTCAAAATCAATCATGACCCGGTTCACCTTCAAAAATAGTTACTAGCCCAAATTTTAGTTGAAAATGTCTCCCAAAGTTGACCTGACAAACGTGCTCTAAACGAATCATATCGTCCATGCACTTATACGTTAAATATAATCGTCTTAATTTTGTTTTGTCTGCAGCTTAACCGCTAGTACACTAAGGTGAAAATCATGATTAGCAAGTGAACAAATAGCTTTTAAAATCATAATTCTATTACTCTTACAATTTTCGTTATCGCTTTTATTTGGATAGAAAACAAACTGAAATTCAATTAATTTAGCCATGAAGCAATAGAGTTCATATATAACGAAATATAAACATGCTTTACGTAACCATAGGTAAACATTGTATAGATACAGCGAGACAAAACATTTAAAGCACTTTGTTAACGAGGTCAGACGAACGCATATCTACATAGTAAAGTGAAATTTCTGTACAAGGATTATAAAAACATTATAAAAGATAAAGATTTTAATAATCATTTGGAATAAAGACTTAAAATATCACAATTTTTGCTAGTCGTACCAGTATCGAATAATTAAAGTGAATTTTCAAAATAACTAAGTATGATAAAGCCTTAACAGTACAGAAAGTACCTTATACTGCAGCATTTACGGGCATTTCCTAAAGTTCAAATAATATTCATATTTCATATTGCATTGTAAATCTACATATTGTTGACCACAGAACAATATCGAAATATCATCACAGACTAGTCCGTTTAAAAGACTCTCATGTTTCTCTGGAAGTTTGGAAATTGACCAGCCAGTCTGTGTCGACGTGGTTGTGCCCTGGATGTCACGCGACGGAACTCCCATATGTTGTTCATGAGGTAGCTACCAACTACTTCAACGAGACCCCGCCTCAACATGACCTTGGCTGTTGACGGGGCAATGATAAACCCAACAAACAAAACATAATCGTTTCGATGATGGTTTTCAGGACTTGTTTCCACTTTGCATCGATATCAATAAACGTTTGTCAAAAACATTGATTTTGAGATTTTATTCACATACCGATAAGAATCAAAATTTGTCAACGATTTCACGGTTACCATATGTTTTGTAGTATCAAAGAATTCAACAACCCTGCATTCTGCGCAATAACTAATGCCACCTTATCTCTCTGTATCACCATATCAGCTGATACTTTGGAAAGGCAAGGGAAGTGTATGTTCAACAAAAATAACATTAGGTACAGTACTAAATGAACCCAGGAAAACAAATTAATATCTAAACAAAGATGTCGCCACCGTGAAATTATGCAAAGTTGTTTACATTCGTCCATGGTATCAAATTCATATCATTATTAATTATTTCTTATTTTCAACAAACTGGGTAAGAAATCCTGTTAATACTACTTTCCTACAGTCAAAAAGTATGGCTTCTCTTCTACATGTATTTCGTGGGCAAATGTTGTTACGTAATAAAGTTATCTCCCTTGATCTGGAAAAATGCTTTCCTGGTCAACAAATAAATTCCTTTAATCAGGAAAATATCTTAAAGCTGACAAATAAAACCTTGTCCTGAACAAGTTCAGTCTATTACGTATTCCTTCGCTAGAACAGTTCCAAGCACCATCAAAAGTATCACACTTTTCACATCCGGAACTGAAATGTCATTTTCCATTGAATTATTTAAGAAATATCAATCACAATATTATCTGCAGTTCTTAAATCAACTGTCCTGCACCTGCAGTTGATGACCGATATGACGTTGCCTGCGATGACCACGACGATATCGACGCGCTAATTGTTTTACACAATTTAGATGTTTTAAGAAATGATTGGACCCAAGCGCATCTGACTCTAATAGTTCAGATACAGGCACCTGTACATGGTGGTATGTTCGTCCAGTTGACGGAGCACTTGACGCAGTTTCAGACACGTCACGAGCACGTGATCGATGGCCGTGGCCGGGTTCCTCCTTAAGTTTAAATCTTGTTTTCTTGGTTTGGGGTTTTCTCTGCTGTTCATCATCTGCTGGTGTTTTTTCTTTCGGTAATTCGATTACTTTTTCACGACTTTTGGTCTGTAACATTTTATTTCGCAGCGCTTGGTATTGTTGTTCTAAATCCTCGTGTTCGGCCGTGCTGCCATCAATGGCGGCTGCTTGAAGGAAATTTAACATCCGGGGACTTCCTTGAGAAGAGGATGTGCTGTGGCGACTTCCTCTGCTGTCACACCGATGTCTGTTCAAATACATCTGTTCCTTGAGTCTAGCAGCGTTTAAATTATCTATCATTTCCTGACGTGTTCTTTGAACTTTGTCCATCCAAGACGGAATATACGCCGATTGACTCGGTCGAGTGTGTACGGTAATGTTGTATCGACGGAAAGATGTCCGTCGAGGGCGAAGCTGCAAAGTAGGGTGCGGCCGTTCTTTTGGCTGCAAGGAAGCCATTTCACCCACTCTATGAGGTACCACGTGGTACAGCGTCAATTGTTAACATGCACACACTGCATGTAGTTATATTATAACACGACAGCCGCTGTTAAACTTTCAATAAAATGACATTCACCATAAATATTTAAGTCTTTCACAATAAGATTAAGTTGGTATATATCCAGCACAATTCCTTGTCACAAAATATGTACATGTACATAATAATCGTCTTCTTTTGTTCCTTAATCCAAAGATTGGGTGGAGAGATTGGTAAAGAAATTAACAGCTTCCAATTAGCCAAAAAAATTACTCCCTTATACACACAAGTCCTGAACGAGTGTAAAAGAGATAGGCCTAATTTTACACCCGATAAAACACAGGTATTTTTATTACAAGTATTTAAACAGAAAAATCCCTGGTCAGCTAAATTACCGCAATATGGCGTTGATTCCAGTTGAAATGAATTATACAGCACCAATATACGTTTTGACGATCTGTACAGATGAATTTAACATCGTTCCCCGGGAGCATATCTGTTGTGATGTGGCTTTTTCTGTTCGATAGCTCAGTCTTATCCGGGTAACTTACACCGTATTTGCACTGTCGCCGCCGTTCACAAACACATCGTAAATTGATTTCCAAGGCTAGTACAGGATATCAAAATGGTCCATATCAGAATTAAGGTTTAAACCCACGCAGGAAGATCGTGCTGAAAACATCGTTTTTGTTTGATACAGCATTTAATAGATTACGCCTTATGTTTGTCCAAAGATTTCGATATCAAACGTATGTGCCAACAACAAAAAGTGCATCCATATGTCAATAATCTTATCAGAAATTTAAAAGAAACATCCATCCATTTTGTCTGACGATCCACTGGCGATTATTAAAGGACATATGAACATTCAAAATTTACATTTCGCACTTCTATATATATTTCAATCCTCAGTTTAAAGTAAGTTGCTTCTAGCAGACTGATTTTGGCCCAATGTCTTTTCATACGAAAATATCACCTGGTAGCTCTACGCTTGGTCTAAAATATCCAAAAATCAGATAAAGGAAATGTTTGGCTTTACATTAGCTGTATGTGCAGGTGTTTGTTGAAATTTATTTTCACATAAGAAGACAACTGGCTGTACGTATACAGGTACATACCAGCACATATACAAAATAAACGTGCCGTGTCGCTTAATTATATGTAAATACTCTCCAAAACAGATCAATAAAATGTAAAAACAATATGTTTTTTCTATATGAAATTTATCTTATTCCACCGTTTAAAAAATTATCTGATATGCTATATTTTCTTTTAGTTATCCCCACTCGACAGAATACATATAAACTTGTACATGTTGATAAGGCGTCTGTATAAATTAGGGAGTACAAGTATACACGCCCTGACGACCGGATCGATAAGTACATTCTACCATGTCCCGATGTTATATACAACCTGCTTTGAAAAACTTATTGGTTTTACGTTATTGCAAACAGCATAATCTATTTAGATATGTTTGAGATATATACTTTACATAGAGATTAAGATAAGAAGAACAAATACACTTTCCTTTTGCCAATTCGTTTAAACTGACATGTTTGTCTCGATGACTAATCAAAATCGACAGGTGATATATCAACTTCATGTAATCCTACATGTATTCATTGGATTCGCGATAATTCGGACGCCACAAGTCCGGAAAACCCGCAATCCGGACAGATCTCAGCAACGCTAGATCGAAATCCGGATCCGGGATGTACAGGAACAAAATAAAAGTATGTGTGTATACATAATTTAAGTAAACTTTAATACATATATGTACACCTAATTATAATCTGTACTTTATTTTTTAGATACACGTGTGTAAGTTAATTTAGTTCGCATGTTTACATAATTTAGGTAAGATGTACAGGGTGTACGTTTAAGGCTTGAGTTTGATACACGTGTGTAAACTTAACTTGTGATCCAATTAGTGAAGCTTGATATCATATACATATATTACATATACATGTGTATATATCCACTGAAATTTACCTTCGTAATGTTCACTGGATTATGAACATATGTATACATAATATATATATATGTGCGTGTATAATATAAATTTATACTTGTCCACATGTTTACTTAATATGTAAAAGGTTTTCTTTCCCAGGCAATTATCGTCCCGTATACAGCCAGAGTAATTTTGAGGCTTAGTCAGTGAACAACATTCGAGAGACCGGGGCATGCTTTCTAGAGTAACTTTGGTAAAGTGTTTTGCCCAAGGACACAAGCACGACTGCATAGATCGTTCCATGTCCTAGCTCTCTGAGAAACACAAGGAGTAAATGTCGACCCAAGCTTGCAAATTCCAAATGACTTAGCTAGCTCGACCCACGTGTCAGTGTTTATCTTATTCAAGTAATATTATATAGTTTGATATGTATAATTATAATGATACAGATATATTGTTCAACTACTTTATAGTTCAACAAAGTGGCACTTATCTTATTTACGGTTTTATAACAATGTGCCACTTATATACAGATTCACTACAGAGTGCCACTTATATACAGATTCACTACAGAGTGCCACTTATTGACAGTTTTATAAAAATATGCCACTTTTATACATATTCACTACAGAGTGCCACTTATATACAGATTCACTACAGAATGCCACTTATATAAAGATTCACTACAGAGTGCCACTTATTGACAGTTTTATAAAAATATGCCACTTTTATACAGATTCACTACAGAGTGCCACTTATAGAAAGTTTTATAACAATGTGCCACTTCCATACAAAAGCGGCATATATATATATTTATATATGTTCACTACATAGTGCCGCTCATATACAGGTTCACCACATTTGCCCTCTAATCTTACAGTTTTCGCTTGCCAATCACGCTAGCCAATTTATTTTGTAGGATAGGTGTATACGATATTACTTATTGGCTATAGAAGATGGACACTTACGTATAGGGTTTCCACAAGGTGTCACTAATACATAATACATGTAAGCCACCGTGCCAATGAAATGTTTGTATCCAAAAAATGTCACTACATGTAGTATACATTTTTGTCACAAAGTGCCACTTATCTACTATAAAGTCACCACAAAGTGTCACTTACCTACTATAAAGTCACCACAAAGTGCCACTTATCTACTATAAAGTCACCACAAAGTGTCACTTATCTACTATAAAGTCACCACAAAGTGCCACTTATCTACTATAAAGTCACCACAAAGTGTCACTTATCTACTATAAAGTCACCACAAAGTGCCACTTATCTACTATAAAGTCACTACAAAGTGATACTTATCTATTATAAAGTCACCACAAAGTGACACTTATCTACTATAAAGTCACCACAAAGTGTCACTTACCTACTATAAAGTCACCACAAAGTGCCACTTATCTACTATAAAGTCACCACAAAGTGTCACTTATCTACTATAAAGTCACCACAAAGTGCCACTTACCTACTATAAAGTCACCACAAAGTGTCACTTACCTACTATAAAGTCACCACAAAGTGCCACTTATCTACTATAAAGTCACCACAAAGTGTCACTTATCTACTATAAAGTCACCACAAAGTGCCACTTATCTACTATAAAGTCACCACAAAGTGCCACTTATCTACTATAAAGTCACCACAAAGTGACACTTATCTATTATAAAGTCACCACAAAGTGACACTTACCTACTACAAAGTCACCACAAAGTGACACTTATCTACTATAAAGTCACCACAAAGTGACACTTATCTATTATAAAGTCACCACAAAGTGACACTTACGTACTATAAAGTCACCACAAAGTGACACTTATCTATTATAAAGTCACCACAAAGTGCCACTTATCTACTATAAAGTCACCACAAAGTGCCACTTATCTACTATAAAGTCACCACAAAGTGCCACTTATCTACTAGTGACACTTATCTATTACCTAAAGTCACCACAAAGTGCCACTTATCTACTATAAAGTCACCACAAAGTCACACTTATCTATTATAAAGTCACCACAAAGTGACACTTACCTACTACAAAGTCACCACTAAGTGACACTTATCTACTATAAAGTCCCCACAAACTGACACTTATCTATTAGTGGCATTACCTTATAAGGTTACACCCAGGTGGTAGTGTCATACAGAATCAACACTATATGTTGCAACTGCAAAACAAATTTCGAATGGTGCCATCTCCAAAAAATGATGATTAAATGAAGTATTATTTTAAAATGTAAACGCTCGGTTGTTTCGAAAACGCGAGGGTATTTGAGTGATAAATAGAAGCTGGAGTTACTTCCCTTGCGCTGATTAGCTTCAAATCGGTAAAAAAACTTTACTGTATTGGCATTGTTCCCTCAGAAAGTATAAGAAAAAAAGAATTGCTAAATATACAAGTTCGATAACAATGCCAAATTATAGCCTCTTTTATGAATTTTTAGAGAACTTACACGACAGGACTTTATTCTTCATTGTATCAACTATTTAATGATTACAGGACGAGTCCCGGTTAGCTTCCTTGACATCATTATACTGCCATGTGTTTCCCAATAGAAATTATATGGATATGCCTCTATAGCACAGAAGTTCTTACATTATCTACGAAATGTAATGAATAATTCTATATGGACTAAACAGGGAAATAAATTGTTAAAACTATGGTGACGATGAGCATTTCGTTGTTTCGTTTTGTCGCCCCGACAGAACGATAATCTTCGTCTTTTCGCCCCCGCTAAGTGTCGTCATTTCGCAGCGACATAACGAAAAGCGAAATAACGAAATTGTGAAGTCGCTGATTAGCGGGGCGAAATCCATCGCCTCGCTAACTATGTCTTTTCGCCGGGACAAAACGCTAATTATCGAAACGACGAAATGTCGGACATCAGCCACCATGATCTAGGTCATTTTTGATAGAAAATATTACCGTACATCTTCTATGGACAAATTTGTTGAACACATGTCTTCAGAAAACAAATCCATTATTCATAACTAAGCAGCATTTATTTATAAAACGAATGAAACTATACATAGGTATTGGTTTAATTAATGTATAACTCAAATAATATTTCATTGTATATTTTCCTTACAATGTAACATTTTCCGACAAGGCTATTGTGATCCTGTATTCAGACTGCGCTTTTGTT